GAGGCGCTCTTTTCAATTCTGATTTCCCAGCTGACTGAGCGTGGAATTTTGTTTCAGCCAATCACAGCGCGTTTAGCTGTTTTGCCGCCGGCCCTCACTCCCAGGCTAYGTAAACCATTTGTTGCTTATTTTTCTGTTTTCTTTTGAATAAAATATAATATTCTTGCATAAAAGAAGCAGAAATATGATAAGGAAAAATAAGAACAAATTTACTTTACCGTCGTCACGTTTGCTTCGTTCTTTCAAGCCTCAAAAATGTCTTGCGCCAGTTATTTTGTTCTTTCATGCACTGCGGGACGCGTTCGTCGTTCAGCTGGTCGATCACACACGTGAAATATATCAATCATATTCATATTCGCGTAATTACTGAAGTCACGTGAATAATTTCGCCTATGATGTTTCAGGAGAAATGGATGACTTTAGATATGACATTGATTTGGGTTTTGGTCGTCGGCACAAAAGAAAGGTAAAGCGAGATCTTGGAACAGAGTTTATTGACGAAATAAAAAGGATAGACCAAGAACGAAAGAAAAAGAAACTTTCAAAACAAGCAACAGAAGTCAAATCCCAGAATTAAAAAAAGTAAGTTGAATTTCGTCCGGTAATAAGTTTATCGTAAAGGGTAGAGACTGACTGACCTTGATGAGGCTCTAAGTCTTCACCTAAACTAGGATGCACCTTTATCTCTGATAAGGTCGTCCACATTAGTATTCTTTATATAAAGAATACTAATGAAGAGGACTTTATGGGGCTTAAAGGTTCATGCACGTGACATGTATGGTCGCTCCCATTGGTTCGAATGCTCATTAATTATTCATGGTTTAATCATTACACATTTCGTTGTCAGTAATTAGCCATTGATTGGCAAATGTTAATCTGCTTGAAGGATGTCAAAAATGCTGTATACCGTTTTAATTACCATTTGCAATGTTCTGAAAATGTGTTCACTGTCTATCAATGAAGTCGATTTTCCTTTGATAGGCTATCCGATTTATATTTTCTTAGTCCTAAATTTATTTTTTTCGAATTCTTTTGTCATTAATCGTTATGATAAACGACAACATTGTGAGAGACCTCTACACTTTTTTCACTTTTTTCAGCCAAACCTCGAGTCTAACTTTTTGTTTTTGGTTGCATTTCAGGTTTGTGACTATAAAGCTTTATGAATAGCGAAAGCTCGAAAAAAGATTTCCAACCTTTATTATAAGAATTTGATAATTATATTGTTTGTATAAAGTGGGGTGACTCTTCAGATATGTATTTGAGTGGTGTTACTATAATACTATATGTTATATAATTCACTTTATGGGTACTAAAAACAATTTTAAAACTGTCAGTTAAGTGCAGTTAAAATATCAGTTGCCTTGCTTAGTTGTTGGTTATTTGGAAGGCACAGATAAGTGGTACGGCATTGTTTAAATTGRTTGAATTTAGGATTAAATATGCTTTTTATGCTTACATATAAAATGGGATAAGCATGTCGCGGATGTAACTTGTGCTAAGATCMTCAGACATGATCAGGCGTGACCTGGAATATTAAAGAAGCAGACTATATCCACCTAGTTTGCCACTCCTAAAATCGACTTGAAAAATTCGTGCTACTAGCGATTCGTCATATGATGGAAGATTACTCCAACTTCAACATGGCGGCTATCACCAAATTATGGCATGATTTATGCAAGTATATTCTTCTTTAACAAGGAGTTTGACAACTTCAAACATCTTTCCCGTTAAATAGTCAATAGCAATAGACGACTTGCAATTACAGGTAACGTGACCCTACTTTCCTTATTGTAGCGACATGAATTTTTGCTGCGTTGCCTAGCTCGCRATACGAAAGTCACAGGGAGCCCATTTGAATGAATCTCATATGGTAAAAATAAGATTGGGGAAAAAATCTTAAATTATTTTTTATYCGAGATGAAGATAATGTCTCCCATGATAAAAATCATGCAGTGAAATCGAATCGAAATGCACTRCGTTGTTTTCTTTGCGCTAGTGATACTCTCCCACTTAGGAATTTTCTAAACTGCTCACCGCCACCCCCAGGGGCTAGTTTTTTTCTTGGAAGATTCTTCGACAAAGTTTTCCATTGCCGACATTTTTAAGCTTTGAATTCCTGGTTGATTTTACTTCAAAAACGAAAGATAACTACAGACAATCCAATACAATATCCGGTTTAGTGAAATTTACCTTGCATGTCTTTCATTCAAATCGAAATTTTGGAGATTCCCGAATTTAAAAGGACATATCAAGACTATAAAACAGCTATAAAAAATAAGCTCACTTACGTCTTTTATAACGATGTTTGGTTTTCCTTAGCAATTTTTATGTTTTTATATGAACAGTATTTTTACCGCAATGAAAAAAAAACAAATGCTTTGGTAGCATCAGAGAGAACATTAGCTGGAGACCATCAACTAACCAAACTTGTGAATTGAATGTCCAGAACGTTAAAACCAAATGTGTCATCAGTTAAAAATCTGGTCATAAAGTCTTTGTTTTGGACCCGAAAAAATATTTTTAGTACGATTTACGTCCCACTTAAAAGCACTATAGAAAAATTCTAAATAAAAATCGTTTTTAAAAAAAAATAATAAAGAAATAAATATAAAGAAAAAAATCAAATGCTAGAAGAAAAGAAGAAAAAAATGTATTYCTAATATGGTGGGAATCGAACCCACGTCCACTATCTTTTAATAAAATAAGTAATTCGAAATCACAGAAGAGAAAAACAGTGCCTTCATGCCATACCCCAAGACATCCGCTGGGTCATCGTATGGACTTCGGACATGACGGCGATTAAGTCCCTCTGCCCTTGGGTG